ACTCATACGCATTGCGTGTCCGGCCGACCTTATCTTCAACTGTTTGGCGTAGAGAACGGCATCTTTGATTTTTGATCATTGACGCAGATCGGAGCTTCGGATCCCATCCCTTGCCTGTGTGGAACGGGGTACTCCAAGCATCGTCCTTTCGACTGCACGTTCGATAACGCTGAGCGATCCTTCATCCTACCCACGCAGCGACCAGGTTTCTGACGCATACGTTAGGGCAGGAAGTACCGTTGATTCGAAAGGGTGGGCACGGAGTCGAGTGTTCCCTGTTCTCTTCACTACATCCTCGATGCTTTTGAGGGCTCCCCAAGCCGCTCGTTTCCTTTTGCTCAGCTCTGGAGCAAAGTCGTTCATCATACTGATTTCCTGATCTAGATAGACATAACTGGAGCATTCGAAGTTATTCGTTCCGTGGAGCGTGAATGGGGCATGCGAAACCAATCCGTTCTTCATGAACATCGTTTTTGTGAGATTTAGTCGAAGACCCATCTTTCCACAGGCTTTATCAAAGTCGTCAACCATGCGTTCGGCTTGGCTAATGTTTGGTGTTATAAGGACGATGTCATCAGCAAAGCGAAGATGGTGTAACTGCCCACCGTCGATTTCCGCTCCCATATTATCCCATTCCAATGTTCGTATGACGTTCTGGAGGGTGGCGGTAAATAATTTTGGCGAGATGGTATCGTCTTGCCTAACTCCTCCTTTGACGTCAGTGTTAATATCGTTGCAGAATGGTGACATCTTGGTTGGGAAATTTCTGTACAGCTCACAAAGAATCTTTATGTAATGAGTAGGGACTCCTTAACTATCATGGGCTTCCCAGACTGCTTCTATCTCAGCTGAATCAAAGCCCTTCTGTAAATCGATGAAAGTGAGACAGAGCGGTCTTTTGCACTCTCGCAATACTTCAATGAGCCTTGTTATCGTGTGGCTGCGCTCCATCGTACTAAATCCTTTTCGAAACCCTGCTTGTTCACATGGCTTTCCTTCGTCAAATATTCTGGCAATCCTATTTAGGATGACTCGAGTGAAAAGTTTGTAGACGACAAACAGCAAGCAGATTAGACGATAGTTGCCGATATCGCGCAGGTTACCCTTTTTGAACAATAACACGATCTTGCTGGCCTTCCACTGAGTGGGGACCTTGCATTCAGACAGGTAACGTGTGGAGAGCCGAGCCAATCTGTGTACGAGGAAGGTTCTTTAGGTGTTCTGGTCTTATCCTGTCCGGACCTTGTGCTGTTCGATTTTTCACCGACGAAATGGCATGTCGGATTTCGGAAGAGAGAACCGGTGGTACAACATATCCATCCTCCTTTATTTCATATAACGGAAGGTGGACGTGGCTATCGAAGAAATCCGAGTAGTATTCGTGAATGATTTTCTCCATTGCCTTTCTGGACGCTGTAAGTGTTCCGTCTGGGCGCCGGAGAGCAGTCATGTTGTTCTTGTTGCTGGCGAAGCTTCGATGGGCTTTGCGAATGCTTTTACCAGTCTCTGCAGCTTCGGCTGTTACTGCTGCTCTTCTCTTTCTACGATCTTTTTTTATCGCCTCTCTGCATTGCTTTGCAAGTTCGGGTGTTAGTTCACGGTTGCCTTCAGCTCGTGCGATTCCACCCTGACGTAACAGCTCGAGTGTTTCTGCAGACAGATGTCTCTTGGTGACTTTCGAACTCTGAGCATTCATAGCACTATCGTGAAGATGTTGAATGAGACGATCGTATTCATCGTCGTAGTTATCGGCAAGGGCGTCTTCCCAACAGCCGACTAATTAATTTAATAAATCCCAGCTTACCGTGGTTCTGGGACTTCGGTTTTTTTTTTACTTTTTTTTAGCGGCTTCTTCTCCTTTCATAGAGAAATAGAATCTTGCACGAATGAGACGGTGGTCTTATCCCGTGTAGAATTATCGGTCAGGCATAACCTTCTATTTACTATGATGTGGTCTATTTCGTTATGGTACTCCATTGGGAGACTCCCACGTCCAGCACTGAGTGTGGGGTTTCTGAAATTGCGACGAACCATGGATTGCTTTGGCTACCATGGTAATCTCAGGTAGCTGCTCACCCTGTTCGTTCCATTCTAACCCGTGGGTCCCAATGTGACGTTCTTCAGACGTTCTTCTTGGTCCAATCTTGGCGTTGAAATCTCCAATGATGATCTTGAAGAATGTTTGGTCTTCTCTGCAGAACTCCTCCAAGTCCATGTAGAACGCTTCGACTTCTTTTTCATAATAGTTTGATGTCGACGCGTAAACGACGAAAATTGTCAATGCCGGTGTCGATCCACATCTTTTTAATCGTTAATGTCCGATTCGTGTTTTTAGTTGTTCGAATACTTACTTACATAATACTTGAATGGCCCATCCTCACTGGTTGTGCTTGTCCCAGCATAATCTCCATTTTCGGAGATTTGCTGCTTAAGCCATTGTAGTTTCCTGGAACCAGGTCTTCACCACCACAGGTAGTCGCAGCACTTGTGGATCAGAGGAAGATTTGCCACCATGCGACTTTGATACCAAGACGGTGATAGATCCTGGTATTGGTTGACTCTTAGCTAGGCTTCCTGATGGAAACGCAGGGCTCCTTCTAAGTCTGTGAGACCCTGCTAGGGAATGGACTTCTAGCTGTAGATCGCAGTCCGACACCCAGCAACACCTCCCAGCTGCGATGAGTTCGAATAAATCAATGTTAATGGACAAACTAGTGTTGACTAAAACGCCTACGCCGACGATTCCTAAACTGTCGCGTGTTGCGAGGAGCAGTTCTTTTCCGGTGTCGTAGACGGCGTTGAATGGGTGGCGTCGTCTCGTGTCGGCCAAGCCGATGACGTCGGTCGTATCTTACCCTTCTTGCTTGCGTGAGCAAGTCCTCTATCGAAGACTCGAATGCATGTGTACGTGCATTGTGGGTACAGATCGTCACCATAGTTCTTTGAAATCCAAGCAGCTTCCATTGGCCCTGAGATTTAAGGAGCCTCTCCGTACTCGTCCTACCCAACGCTGCGAAATTGGGGCTCTTTCGGGGTCAGGGGAATGAGGCCCGTTTTTTTTTACTGTGTTTAGCATTTTGATACCTACGTATAGCTTGCTGGGCTCTGAACGTGGGAGCTGGGTATACTCACGGGTAGCTTGGTAGGCTCTTCCAGAGTGGACATGGAGCTTATTTGTTGGAGGCGACTTTTAACCGCCTCCCATATACATCCCTGTCACTTGATTGCGGGCCTTTGGCCGAATTGACTCGTAGAATACAATCCGCGTAAGCAAGAACGCACCCATGCACGCATGCATGAATACGCCTAGCAAATACAGAAAGTATGTACCAAATCAGCGCAGCAGAAACAGAGAGTCAATCTCCTGGATCCACCTGCGTCTCAGGGAAGCAAAGGTCGTTTTGGTCCGCGATTATACCCCTATCTGCCAACTGGGGCGCGCCACGTAGCCTCGCGACTAACCGGCTCGACATCCCTCATATGAGGGAGGTCCGTGGTTGGCAGGGTATGTTGCGAAATGCCACTTCTATGATGCTGAGGGTATGGCATTTTATTTCTAAAAAGGGCGCACGTGGAGCAGTGGTCGGAGGCGCTCCGCAACACTCACGTGGAATTGATCTCCGCGCCCAAGGCTCATTAAGCCTTCCATCCCTTCGGGTTCGGTAAATTGCTACCAGACTTCTCTGGAATGATAGCAGCACTGGCTGGATACATCGTTAGCCCACCGCGAGTCATTGTAAAGGCGAGATATGTATTTAATCACCTCCAAATGATACTTAATAAAGTCGAATGCATGGCGCATCACTCAAGGATTGAACAACGCCGACAGCTTATCCTTTATCTTTTATGTTGCTTAGATCAATCCGGCAGACGGGCGATTGCTGATGGCAGGGATCGATGGAATTAGCTGAGAGACAGGCGAACCGAAGCACTTGCATAGTGTGGTGGTGAACGCGTTAGCCCCTGGAAAAAGTATTAGTGCGCTCGTTCCCCACCGCATGCACCTGCGGCTTAGTTTTACAAATATCTCAACATCATTGAAGAAGGAGCCTGAGAAAATACACGAAAAACAGCGTATCTGAAAAAACTGTATAGAAATTGATAGTCTATTGCTTAAGAACAGCTGGTCCAGGTTGAAACCTTTTATCCACCTTTCCTACTTTGTTTCTTTTAAATAGATGGAATAAATCTAATAAAAGCAGTAACTCTTTTAAAAACTTAAATATTTCGTTGGAGACCATGGTTTGAAGAGAATATTCCGCACGTCCAGGAAATCGTAACAGACAGCTTTCTTCGGAAATTTTGAAAATGTTAATAAACTAGAAACATATAACCACAACGATACGGAGATATTCGCCAAACTTGGACCCCGAGCCAGATCGAACCACGGTTTCCCTTTCCGGGGGCTCGTGCGTTACACATTGCGCCACGGAGGTCTTTGCTCTGTATTTCTCTCAGCTATTTTTCTACCTAGCACTGCTATCAGCAATCACAATAAAAGATTATATTTGTTGTACTTGGATGTACTTCATGCCACCTTTCTTCCTGTAAGCATTTTATACCGTATCTCTGGTCCAAAGCGGCTTTAGCTCTTGATCGCATCTATTCATTGTCGTTGTGGATCAGAAGTGAATTTACCGTATTATGATAGATATGGCATTGATCCATCGTAGTCATAAAAACACTGCAACGCCGTTGATGGTTAGGCTCTCAACGCTTTCTCATATAGGAATGTCTGGGTAAACAGCTCCTGCTACTCTGCCTTAAACGCAATTGAACGAACAAGGTGAGCGGCTGTCTGAGCTTATCATGGCGACCAAGACAATCTATGGTAACTCGCAATTCCAGAAGCCCAACCCTCAGCGCTGGACCTGGGAATCTCGCAATGGAGAGTACCATAACGAAATAGACCACATCGTAGTAAATAGAAGGTTCTGCCAAACTGTTGTCCTAAAATTCTACACAGGATCAGACTTTCGTCTCGTGCAAGATTCTATTTCTCGCGGAAAAGAGAAAAACTCGCTAAATTCTAAAACCGAAGTCCCAAAACCACCGTAAACTGGGATTTATTAAATTCATTAGTCGGCCGTTTGGAAGATGCCTTTGTGGATAACTACGACGAAGAATACGATCGGCTCATTCAACATCTTCACGTTAGCGCTATGAAAACTGAGAGTTCGAAAGTCACCAAGAGACGTCCGTCTCCAGAAACACTCGAGCTGATAAGCAGGCGTGGAATCGCAAGAGCTGCAGGCAACCGCGAACTAACGTCCGAGTTTGCAAAACGGTGCAGACAGGTGAAAAAAGAAGATCTTAGAGAGATAAGAGCAGCAGTAATGGCCGAAGCTGCAGAGGCTGGGAAAAGCATTCGCAAAGCCCATTGAAGGTTCGCCAATTACAAGACCAAAATGATTGCTCTCCGGCGCCCAGACGGAGCAGTTACAGCGTCCAGAAAGGCAATGGAGAAAATCATTCACGAATACTACTCGGATCTCTTCAGTAGCCACGTCATCCCTCCCTCATGTGAAGTAAAGAAGGGGTCGATATGTTGCACCACCGGTTCTCCCTTCCGAAATTCGACATGCCATTTCGTTGGTGATAAATCGAATAGCACCAGGTCCGGATAGATAAGACTAGAACACCTGAAGAACCTTCTGCCAGTCCTCGTATACACATTGGCTCGGCTCTCCACACGTTACCTATCTGAATCCAAGGTCCCCATTCAGTGGAAGGCCGGGAAGACCATATTATTGTTCAAAAAAGGTGTCCTACGCGATATCGGCAACTATCGTCTAATCTGCTTGCTGTCTGTCGTCTACAAACTTTTCACTCGAGTCATCCTAAATAGGATTGCCAGAATATTTGACGAAAGAAAGCCATGTGAACAAGCAGGGTTTCGAAAAGGATTTAGTACGATGGAGCGCAGCCACGCGATAACAAGGCTCATTGAAGTATTGCGAGAGTGCAAAAGACCGCTCTGTCTCACTTTCATCGATTTACAGAAGGGCTTTGATTCAGTTGAGATGGAAGCAGTCTGGGAAGCCCTTGATAGTCAAGGAGTCCCTACTCATTACATAAAGATTCTTCGTGAGCTGTACAGAAATTTCCCAACCAAGATGTCACCATTCTGCAACGATATTAACATTGACGTCAAAGGAGGAGTTAGGCAAGACGATACCATCTCGCCAAAATTATTTGCCGCCACCCTCCAGATCGTCATACGAACATTGGAATGGGATAATATGGGAGCGGAAATCGACGGTCGGCAGTTACACCATCTTCGCTTTGCTCATGGCATCATCCTTATAACACCAAACATTAGCCAAGCGGAACGCATGGTTGACGACTTTGATAAAGCCTGTGGAAAGATGGGTCTTCGACTAAATCTCACAAAAACGATGTTCATGAAGAACGGATTGGTTTCGCATGCCCCATTCACGCTCCACGGAACAAGTATCTCCGAATCGAGTGATCGTCGAGTGATTCGAGTGGGCGCCAGTAAATCCACCATTTTTCTCTGTCGCGTGCATGACTAGCTCGCTTGCTCTAGGGACTCGATGAGCATCATATCTTTCTTCAAGGCTCTTTTTGAAGAACTCTGACCATCGGGTTGATGGTCTTTCTGCAGTACGTTTGACATCCCGAGGAATCCGGTCACCAACAGCTCTTGTCCATCGGTTGTCATTCATGCGCATTACATGTCCGGTCCACTTTTTCTTCTACTGTTTGGCGGAAAGAACGGCATCTCTGATTTTTGATCATTGACGCAGATCGGAGCTTCGGATCCCATCCCTTGCCTGTGTGGAACGGGGTACTCCAAGCATCGTC